AGAGGAGGGTCAATGAGATCAGCAGATACAACAGCCAGGACTCATGGCCTATACGTTTAAACCCCCCTGACCTACAAAGTGCCAATGCAAAAAATCCACCTGCAATTGACGGCCCCTTAATCTGTGACCAAGCAGGGATCCATACCTGGATGAAGCAGATGATGTGATGCTGAGGCAGTTTTGTTCAACAGTACGTGGGCCCTCAGCCACAAGCTGGTCATCCCCAGACTACGCAGCCTACTTACATGCCTGCTGCATGAAGAAATAAGTTCTGATGCAACCAAATGCAAGAGGACGCCTCTGGGAACAAAGAATGCAAATTACAGCCTCTGACAATGGGAGAGATTACTTCAGAAAGCTTCAGCTCCATGAGGACTAAAGATGCTTTCTGTGGAATAAGTGAATATTCATTTGAGTTTTCTCTTGCCATTTGCATCTGCTCCCTCTTTACCCTCCATTTTGCTCCTCTTTACTCCCTCTTTCACCCTCATTTACCTGACTCCTTGTGAAAAAATGCAACACTCTGGACTTTAACAAGGTCACAGCATAGCTCTGCATTTGCAGAGCACTTCCAAGAAATGCAGGATGTCTTAGGCAGAAAAAAAACTGTCCCTCCTTCAGCACCCTCATGAGCCACTCAGACACAGGGGACATCAGCACATCTCCTTTCACAAGAGCTGCAGGGCTATGGGAAAGAGTGCCTGCCAGACCAGATTAACTTAGATTGCTGTAGGTGTGGGCTCAGTGGTGGTTGCATGACCCCACAATGGTACTGACTGACTGGGAACTGGTTGAGCAGGTGATGATGCTGAAGGACAAACCATGTGCAAGCAGCCAGCTTTACCTGACGTCTGCTCTCCCACAGCCATTGGTGTCCTCAGAGGGAAGGGAGATACCAGGGAGCATCCAATTGGAGGCCACACAAATGGCTGCAAGGTGGAAAACCTAACAACTGAGCTCAGTTTGTTCAGCTTATCGAAGAGATGCTCGGGAGATCACAAGATGCCTAGGCATCTTAAACATGGAAATTTCCTAGGTTGCAGGGGATTTCCCAAGCTTTTGACAAAGCCATGGTGAGATTCAATGCCTGGAAGTTCAGGTCAGATAAATCCCAAAATATAGTGCCATTTCCCAGCAGGGAGGAACACCTAACACTGGAAGACCTTGCAAGGGTGTGGGCCCTCATCGTTTGACATCATTAGCATAGCAGCAGCAGATAACTTTTGAACAGCTAGGCTTTAATCCAGCTCCTGGGAGAAAGTCCAAGCCCCAGGGTTGGAGGGAGTGGGGCTGGATGGCGCAGGGCACACCTCTGGCCTGGGAACCAGTGCATGCCCCAGCTTGCTTCCTTCTTCCTCCAGCCATGACAAGAACAGGAAATTCTGCATTATCTGCTGCTGAGCCCTGAAGCTCCTCATTAGGCTGGGAGCTACAGTCAAATCTCATTCTCCAAGAACTCAGCTGGTTGCCTGCAGACACAAGGAAGGAATTCACTTACTTATTTTCCTCCTCCAGGCTCATTTGGCCGGACAGACGTTGCTAGCTATTTCATTTTCTCACCTTCCTCTGAATCACCAGGGATCAGCTGCTCCTGGAAGCACCACGCTGGAGGCAGCTGTACCAGATGTGGGCAGTGGGTCACCTTTTATTCTGCAGCATGAGGCCACCCTTAGGGCTCTGTTGGTGCTATCTCACCCGGTCAGCTGCCTGGGCAGCATCTGCTCTAACAAGGGTCATAAACATGGAGGCTCAGTAAAGTTCTGTTATTCTGGTTGACATAAGTGCAGAGGTCTTAACCTGCACAGCAGATGCTCTGGTCTCTCAACTGATATCACCGTTCAGAGCCTTGCAGGTCTGCCTAAATAAACATATGTAAGAGTCTACATCCAAGCTCTCCCTTGCCCTGTCCCCTGAAAAAACTCTTTGATGACTAAGCCCATTAGGGGAGGAGCAAATCTCTCTGAAATGTCACAGCTGATCTCCTCTGACCTTATCAAAGTGCAGGATCAATACGCTGACCCATCAGAGCAGGGAACCTTAAGCAAAAGCCGAAGAGAAGCAATCAAAGCAGAATTTCAAGAACGGGAGTGGGGGTGTTGAAATATTATGTCTCTGGAAACTGAAAAACAAATGAGCCAAAAGTAACCGCGATGCTTAAAATTATCATATACATAATTAGTATTTGATAAAGCAGGAAATACAACATAACATCCATTCATCACGCTGACAGCTGCAAAACCATATTGCAAACCTCTTGAGCGTTAGTGATGTTTGCACACACCTTCAGCACCGCAGGTACGCATCCACATTGCCAGTGTAGGAGCTGAACGTGCCTTGGGCTCCATGGCATCCTGGCAGTGAATCCCAGGGAATAGCTCTGAGGATGCATGTTGGTAGCCCTAGGAGAGGATCACGTGCTCTTGAAGGATGGAGAGCCATGAGAAGAAGCCGGGGAGCAGCTGACAAGCTTCCAGTGAGTCTGTGACTTGGAGAACCCTATAGAAGTAAACCAATAGTCCTGACATCTGGAACTTCTCCACCTACACCACCATCTTACTGCAACAGTCCCTGTTGTGGTTTTGAACTGGGTTAATTATCACCATTTCAAACAACTCCTTGTACTCCATGGGGGGGTGGCGAGGCCCTTTCACACAGACAGCTTGCGTACAGACAGCCTGCTTTGGAGGAGGAGCATGAACAGGGGTCAAGGAATGAACCTGGCACTCAAACGCAGTCATCCAAAGGGTTTATGGTCAGAAAAGTCCCAGCTCTTCAGCTGCTACAAACCAAAATGCAGCACCTGATGCCAGCAATGGATGCCTGGGCACTACGATTCCCCACAAGAAGGTATTTTTAGATAAACTTGTTACTAGCCTTCCATGAGGGGGCTGCTAGCAAAGCAGAGGGCCTGGGCTGCAAAGTGGAGCTGTGGTTGCGTGGAGGAGGGTTTAAAGGAATAGCTGACTGAAAAAGAAGCTAAACAAAATCAAAGAGAAGGGTCTTAAAATGCAAATAGCTCGTAGGACAGGTGGCTCCGTCCAGAGCAGCGTTCTTTACAGCGCTTCACCTAAATGAGAGACGTTTTTCCTCCTCTCCGTAGATATTTTTAAGATTTACCTCCCCTCACAATGGTGCACACGAGCCATTTGCAAGTAACTCAGCGACAAAACAGGAAGAAATCAGCTTTCTGCCTCGCCTGACAAAAATAGCCAAGTGCCTGATGGCGAAACCACACACCCATCATTGCTCTGCCTGGCTGGAACGGAGCTGTGCCTGAGCCTCCCGCTGCGCACGTTGATCGCCAGATTGTAAACTTGGGATAGGGCCCCGTCCATCTGTCGAGGCAGAATTTTTCCACTTGAAAAACACTGAAAATTCCCTGGAGTACAGCAGCCATCCCAATTCCCATGCGAACTGTCTCACCATCAGCCACAAGCTGCTCGGAGGAACAGGAAGGACGCCGGTCCCAGCCCTTCTTCCTCCCCTCCCTTTTTATTCGCAGATAAAACCACCACCTCTAATCTAATATCACCAACCTTCTTGTCTGGCCAACTCTTCATAAATTCACCTCATTAACCCAATGTAAGGCAGGATCCTCAGCTCTCCCGCTGCTGACCTTTTTTTTTTCCAGGACAGAAAGAGCACTGTGAACAATCTCTTTTGGAGAGAATCAAAAAAGCAATCAAAGAAAGTCTCCGCCGTTCTGGGAAATTTTCTATGCACTGAGAGTCTCATCAAACCAGGGGAAAGAAAGCAATAGCAAATTTAACAGTGCTATCCATAGCAGACACAGATGGCTGCGGTTCCTAAATAAGCATTGCATTAGTGCAAAGGAGAGAAGGGGGAAAAAAAGAATAGGAACAAAGAAAAAAAAATACAACAGCTGTATCTTAAGCCTGGAGGCTGATGCTAAATCTATGTTTGTAGATGGTCTCGGCACCAGCAATAAAAGTCAAGTTGCATTGAAGAGGTGCTGTTGAGTGTGCCACATCCAGCCCAGTCCACTGGGTGGGGATCCGCAAGGGGACACAGAGTGAAATGGGGTGTCCTGATTTAAATATATCAACAGCATACAATGGCTTTCACAACAATGGCAGAAAGATCTCTCGCCCTCTCATCACTGCTACCAACAAGGAGGTGGAAGAACTGGGGGACCTGACTAGAAATCATGGCTCTTCCCAAGCAGAGGAGCCTCCACTGCTGCAGGAGCTCTGTGCTCAGCCCGGTGCTGAGATTTCTGCAGTGTTGGGAGATTTCTCTCTGCTGTCTGGAAGGCAAAACAGGAGCTTGCTGCCAGAAAAGATCACAGTTGACACAAATATTGGAGGAGCAGTAAATGATGACACGAGCACACTGGTTACAGTAGGCAAGCTGTGCTGGCAAATGCATGGGCTGAATAAAAGTGGCCATTAAAGTATCAGAGCCCCCTAGGATGCCATGGGCCTGGGCCTCCATGCTGATGGACGTGTCCAAACCACACTGAATTGAGCAAAATGCTTGAGAAGAGCATTTTCATAGAATCACAGAATGGCCTGGGTTGAAAAGGACCACAACGCTCATCTAGTTTCAACCCCCCTGCTATGTGCACGGTCACCAACCAGCAGACCAGGCTGCCCAGAGCCACATCCAGCCTGGCCTTGGATGCCTGCAGGGATGGGGCATCCACAGCCTGCTTGGGCAGCCTGTTCCAGTGCCTCACCATCCTATTTTCCCAACTGAGCACCTCTATCTGCCAAAAAATAGCCACCAGAGCAGCACACAGAGTTGCACTGGCTCTTCATAACAGGAGGCAACCTAACTGACTGTGATGACCAAGACACCGAGCTCAAATGACACATGTACTGGTCATTCAGTCGAGGATGCTTCTTGCCATTTCATGCATCATTTTATTCTCTCTGCTTTTTAAAAGCAACCAGTCAGCTTTCATTCCTGCTATTGTTTCCATTAGCTTATGACAAAGTGCAAAATTTCTCATCTCTGCCGTGTCGGAGCTGCCTTACCTTTTTGCCACTGTCCCTGAATTCCTTCCAGCCGTTCCTGAGCCGGGCTCACATCAAACAAAGCCTGCAAAAGTCAGGCCACCAGGGCGAGGTGCAACCTGTGCTCCTGGATGCGGTGCTCAGATGAGTGCCTACAAACATAAGAGCACATCAGAGGGCTCAAAGGCCGCGTGCAAGCCTGGACCTGGTCAACATGTTTTATCACATTGATTTCTTTTCCATTGCACTACAATATAACATTCATGCTCTCTAATATCCTTGGGTGCTTCAGCGAGACATGTTCCTCTCCTTGGCTGCACCACTGCTCGCTAACATTATTTCTGCACTACCATCTTCCCTCTTTCTCTGTAGAGTCGCTTAGCTGATTAATTATCAGCCTTGGGGACGGCTCACAGAGCACAAGTTTTGAGGATGGGGAGTTGAAAGGATGGCACTGCACCAGCAGGCCAGGTTTGCCAGAGCTGCCTGGGGATCTCCCATCCGGAGAGCACCGATTTCTAGCAAAAAAATGTTTCACCACAACACATCAGTACCAATGCTCTCTTGCTTCCAAATGAACTGGTGACCCAGGTGTTTCAATAACATCAAAACATTGTGTTTCATTATTTTGAGGGCATGCGATGCTTTGATTTTCATTTAAAAACAACTTTTCACTTAGAAGCTGCTTTTACATTCCGATTGCTTTCAAATGCCAAAATCGACTCAAAATATGTAAACAACTTTTAATGGTTTCACGGGGACATTTTGGAGCAAAAAAAAAAAAAAAAAAAAAAAAGCATTTAAATTAAATTCAGTAATTTTGCCAGGAAATGGAAAATATGCTTCTTGCTCAGCTCTAGCCACTAACTTGGCACCTTGATGGGATTTCATACAATTGAGAGAACCCACCCAGGCACGACGGAGACTTGGGCTGACTGTGAGAGGAGATGTAAAGGCGTGGGTTGAGCAGGAGGAGCCAACAGGGAGCAGGTGAGAGCAACCTGCAGGTGAGGGCAGCATGGGTTTGGGTGCCAGCTGGGGTATCTGCACCTGAGCTTGGAGATGTGAACAGAGAAGCCACCAGAGGAGGAAACTTCAGAGCGTTTGTATCAAAGGCATTCTAAAACCAAACCAAAACACACCAACAGAAATCTTCTTTCCTTCCCTCCAAAGCAGACTCCCTGCTGTGCCAATGCAGTGGCATGGAGGTGCTCTTGGAAGCACTGAGGTCTGTGAGCATCATCTTCATCAGCCCAAGCTGCTCTGCACTCTGACAGTCGTCAGAGAGAGTGGAGCAGTGCTTAGTGGGTGGCTGGGATGAAAGGCAGAGCCATGCTCTAAAGCACATTAATTGCTTATTAATTACCCCATTAATCACGGTGACACCTTTGTCTGCATTCCCAGTAGCATAGCTGCTGTTAGGTGGGACTGTCACACTGCTTTGTCTAACCGAGCAAGTTTTGCTGCCTTGTTCCAGACACTCCTGGCTCCTGAAGAGTGGAAACAAAACCAAGAAAACACTTAATAATAATAATGATAATAATAATAATCATCATCATCATCATCATCATCCCAACAGCAGCATGGCAGGCCCCAGACAGTGCAGCAGGTAGGAAACATGCCCCTCAGTGGCAACAGGCAGGCTAAGGAAATGCACAGCGCAGAATTGCATTGCAGTGATCACCTGAAGATCTCCAAGCTCAAAGTTTAGACTGCTGCTTGCAAAGCCAGCCAGCAGAGCAGGCCAACCAGACAGTGAGCAGAGGGGGTGGGATGCTGAGAAGACTCACCCACGCTGCATCCCCAGCATTTCCATGGCCAGGGAAGGGTCTCCATGGAGGCAGTGGGGCTGCATGCGCACTGCAGGCAGCTGCAAGTTTCCATTAAATCACAGAGAGCTGTAAACCAATCACCAGGGAAAATTTCTGTTCCATCACCAGTGTTTTTTCTTTATTTCATTATTTATGGCACTCTCTGCTCCCTGGCAACTTTTTTTTTCTTTCTTTTTTTTTTTTTTTTTTTCATTACAAAAAAATTATTTTCTTTGTCTGAAAATTGATATAAAAAGAAATCCATCTCTCAGCCGTCATTTCTCTTAATGATGTTTACATCAGCAGATGGGGAAAAAATCACTTTTTAAACAGAATTTATTACCCGCTGACCCAAAGCTTTACCATACATCACTGTGATTTCAGAAAGTTAGTTTCCACAGCAACATGATGTAACTCTCCAGCGTGTCTGTGAGCTGCTGGCATTAACTCTTCCAGCCCAAGAGGTGTCGGCTCTAAGAGGGCATCCTGGCCACATGGCAGCCAGTAGGAGGATGCAAGTTTGAGGTTAGATGGGGGAAGTTCTGGAGCAGGAATGCTGGGCACGCAGGGTCCTCCAATGGGAACCCAAGCCTTGTATGAGGTCCTTGTCCATGCTATCTCTCCCAGGCTAAGCCATGTTGACAAGAAAATCAGGGAGGGGAAAATAAGATAGGCATGGGGGTATGTCAGATATAGTGAGGAATCCTTAGGACAATGTAAGATGCATGAGTGGGCACTGCTTCACTTAAGGCTGCACGCCCAGAGCCTCTAAGATGTGTCCTTTGCCAGCTTAGCAAGCAAGGCTGAGCTCTGATAGAGACAGTTGCACCTAACACTGCATTTATTGATTGCTGGGATGTTGATAAACAATTGATTTCTTTCTGCAAATGTCACCTGGTAGGAGTTTTATACTTCTCCCTACAGGGAGCAAGCAATTGCAAGAGCCTAGCAAACACAGAGAAAGCAGACTATCTTCTGCTAGGACAGACAAATCCTGGCAGCAAGAGGCCCAGAAATAAGTTGCTTCTACTGGGATTTCAGAGTATAGCATGGTAGGAGATGGAAAACCATTTACTCCAGTGTTTTGGCTCAGACACCAGAAAGTCACTTTGGCACCTTGTAAAAGAAATCCAGCATCTATGCGCCCTTGGCTTGAGGCAGAGCGATGCAGATAGAGAGGATAAAGGCTATGGGGATTGCAGGGTGCATATAGCAATGCACAGAGACACCAAAATCACACAGGGGAGAGAGCAGACCCACACAAACCGCGTTCTAATGCTGGGCACAAAGCCCTTGAGAAAAAAAAACACCCAAGCCAATGTCAAACCAAAGAGAGGACAACACGGGCGAGATGTTTCTCCATGCATTAGTGGCCAAGGCAGCACAATTACAAATGAACAACTCAAACCAATTAGGCAATTAACCGAGAAGACAATCCCAAGGGTGTAGACAAGGGTAACGTAAGCCTCAGCATTCTCATGAGATATCCTGAGAAGATCTAAAGCCACATCTCTGCATCCCAGGCACTGCAACTGCTGGGACTGAAGGACAGGCAAAGCTCCACGGTCCTAACAATTCATTTCTGCTGTCCCCTAACATAAACCTGCTCCCACACTTAACGCATGAAAGGTGCTTCAAACCCATTGCTCGGGATGATGCAGGGCAGCCCTGCGCTGAACTGCTTCTCATGTCTTCCAATGACTAATTAATTCTTATTAATTAATTAGCAGGCTTGTAACAGGTTTGGGAAAGCTGACTCAGGAGGTTGTAACCACGTTTAGACAAAAAAGCTTGCTCTGATTGAATTTGTTCTGAAAGCTATTCAAGCTTCATCGTGTGCATCTTATAAAGCAGCCAACAGGCGAGGAAAAGGCTGCAGTAAAGATAATGTGCACTAATAGGTATCGGTTCTGCCAAAATAGATACCAGCCACATTTGCAGAGATACGAGCAGCGCACTGAGGGGTTAGTATCATTATCAAAGATCAGACACGAGATTAGTATCATTATCAAAATCAGCCTGCCAATGCCATTTCCTCCACTTATCTTAAAATCCTCGAGTCTATCAGAGGATGTTGACCTCTCTATCAAAAAATGTCGAACAGCCCATTTATCAGAAAGCTTCTAATGAGGTGACCTAGAAGAAGAAAGCTTTTGCAAGAGCAGATCCCAACCACTCCAGCAGGGAGGTGGTGGACGCAAAGCGTGCCTCCAGGTGGGAGCCCACGGCTCAGAGAGGCAGCTCGAGGCTCACGCAAAATAGTCTGCTTGATGGAAGGAGATGTACTAATCGATCGGGCAGCGCAGTCGTGAGGTGTTGTACAATTCCTGCTGAGGATTGAGAGATGCATCCATCATCACAGCTGGCTGCAGCAGGCGGGAGCCACGCGAGCAGCAGTGCTTCAATACCTCGGGCTTTTAGCAGGGTGAGGCTGGCGGCTGAGCGGTGGGAGAACGCCATTGCACGTTTCCAGCCCTCTGAAACAGCACTGAGATGAGAACGTGGTGAGTTTCTGCACCATACCTGCTGCATATGCTCACCTTCCCATCCTCAGGACTCATCCGCTTCCAGCCTTCCCAATGTCCACACCATTAATCCGTGCAGCAGCAGCTGGAGCCACTCAAACCTCGCCACCAACATGCTGACAGCAGGCTGCTCCTCCACATCCTTTCCCCGGCTATTTCCACCAGCATGCTGTCACTGAACTCAGGTCCAGAAGCCCTGCACTGCTCACACAAAACTCCCACTGAAGTCAGAAGGAACATAAAATAAACCCAGCCGCTCCTCGCTGTCACAGCCTAAGTGCATTAATGTCTTTTTATCTCCACGAGGGCAGCACGGCTGACCTCTGTTTCCATGCAATCGGTGTTAATAAAATCTCTCTCTGCAAAAGCGACACTGGAAGATACACTTCAATTGGCATATTTTATCTGAATTGAAATTTGAGTGCGAGTCTCGCGCTGGTAAAAACCTCTGCTAATAACTCTCATCTGTGACCCTCCTCTGAGACTAGCCTTTGGGATGATGATTGCCAAAGAAAATGCTCAGGAAACATCCATCCAAGGCAGCCCCCCAGTTCTGGCTTACAATCAAGATGTCATCTCTGAAGCACTTATTTCACTCGGTTTAGGTTATTTTCACAGCAAAATTAAACGCAATCAAGCCAGCGTCCCTGGGCAGCCTTTGCTGCAGGCAGGCAGATCTGTAGCACTCCGCTGTCCTAAGGAACAGCAGCAGCTACTGGAGCATCTTCAGAAGAATACAGCTTTGATGGACCCCAGGCATGTACACCCAAGAGGTGGGCAGCAGCTTGTGGGCATCCTAGCTCTCACACCTGCTCTGAGTCCTGCATGGGAAACATCGTGTGACCACTCCTGCACCCACCTGCCCCAGCATCCATGGGATGCACACACCTGGCAGCACACATTTGAAGGGTCTGAAAGGAGAGCAGCTTCTCTTAAAACCACAGCAGGTGCAGGAATCCTGCACTGGTTGCCCTCACAGGCTGCAGGGAGGTAATCTGTGTGTTTTCCCTGCCTCCCTCTCCCCCAGAGCTCTCAGGAAAGCCAGCAAGCAGTCTCAGCATGCTGGCAGCAGGCTCAGTGTCACCAGACGGCTTTCTTCAGTTTCACACTATTTCTGCCTTTTCCCTGTAAATCTCTTACTCTGTTTCACCGTTTCACCAGACGTTCCTTTCCTAAGCAAGCTGCTATTAAGAGCAACTGCATTTGTCCACAGCAAATGAAAAGAAATGATGAATGTGCTTCATCAGCCAAGGCAGAAAAAGTGATAGCGATGCAAAGAGATGGTAAACGGGCGACGCATCCACAGAGTATTTCAAAAGTAAATCAAGTTATGGGAAGAATTAGAGAAAATACTGAATTTGTCTGCAATTTCCAGTCACATTGCTTCTCCCATTTGTACACTGTGTTATGTGGTAGCAGGACGAAGAACTGACTTGCATTTTTAAAGCTTCAGCACTTGACAACAGCAGACATCTTTCCAACGGGGAGAACAGGTGTATGTCTCCCTCTCTTCAGTGCAGCTCCTCAAGAGGGAACGTAGCTGTAACTTGAACTTTACATTCAAAGATGGGACAGAACTGAGGCTATGGGGGGTGAAACTGAGGCAGCATCGCTCGAGAAGCCCCAATGGGCATCGAAGGGTTTTCACCAGTGAGCAAACATTCACACCTCTTCAGCCCGCTCTGCTCAGCGGGTTGCAAACCACTGCTGAAAGCATTGAAGCAATGCATGATTTATTTCTCTTGCATTTTTCATAGAGCTGCAGGCGAACCCCACTCTTCCCAACCTATGTTAAAGCAATGGCAGTAATGATTTCTTGGTCTGTATATTGCAGCTCAATGCACGAACAATAGCACTACCACCTTGGCACTGAAAAGGCTGCAATATTGACAGGCTGCAGCTAATTGACAGCGGAAGGCAGGAAGGTACAAATGGAGAAAGAAGGGAGCAATTCACACCTATGTTTTACAATCAGTCTAATGAATAATCCTCAATATATCACCATCTCTCACTCGGTGCAAAGAGAGGTGTGAGGGGTCACCTCCCAAACCCTCCTGGGAGCATCGGGCCAGCCTGGCTCAGGGCTGTGTCCCAGCCAGGAGCACACTGAACATTATGGCACACTCAGATACAGAGGGACAGAAGGACGCGTCCCTCTGCTGGCTGCTGGAGCGTGGCAGCCCAGCGGGTCTTGCCATCAGCTCAGAGAATGAATGCCCTTGCAGTGCTCTCCTGCTTGCTCAAATCACGGATATTTTCAGCTGCGTGCAGCCCTTTGTGTCCTTACTACTCCTTGGGAAAGTCAAACCTTGCAGGCTTTGCCCCAGATGCGGAGGCTTCAGCAGGACTCATTTAGCCTCTATCCATCTCTCTTTCCTCACGAAACCTTTCAGGAAAGACTTGCAGCTGAACCAGGATGGAGATTCCCTCCCTAACGCCCCCAGCAAAAGCCCAGTGCCCCACTTGGTGGCATGGCGAGTGAATAGTGCCCTGCTGCACCCTAAGCCTAAGCTCCCACTGCTCCATCCCACCAGTGCACAGACCCTGCTTTGAGCCAGAACC